TTTAGATAAATACTTAGTGATAGCACAGCATGAAATCTAAAGGCTTGAGTCGAAGATTGGAAGGAGAACATGTTTTGAGGAGGAATCTGAATAAAGTGAGAGATAATGAGAGATCTGGGAAGTCATTCTATGCATGTAAGGTAGCAAAGGAAAAAAGGGGAGGACCATATGGAGGTAGCAGTTGGACTTCATTTGGTAAAAAGTGGAGGAAACGCAGGAGTGAATACCATCACAGGGAAGTATTGAGATACAGTAACAGAGATAGACAATAGCATGATGGTCCATTAAAACAAATTTCAATTTAAGTCAGTGATTGTGTGCTGGGTGTGAGAGATAGGAGGAAGTCAGTGCAGAGTTTTTAAGAAGGGTGTCATGTGATCATGGGTGTCAAAGTAAATGATGTTGACAGCAAAGGGCTAGTTAGATATCAGGGAATAACTACAGAGAAGAAAGCTGAAGTAGACCAGGTAACAGATGACAAGGAGGTCCTGCTTAGAAAGCTTGGCTAGAATCTCCAGGCTGCCGATTTCAACACCGAGTGCCAGAACAGAAGTGGCTCTGTAAGCTGACTGCCCCATAAGACTGCATTATTCCAACCCACCACCCCCACTGCTTTTTTTGTTTGTTTTCATCTGAAGACAAACATACTGTCTCCTGAGACTGGATAATTTGTCCAACCCCACTTTATTTACAAATAGTTTTCTCACATTGGATTTACAATCCTTGAGATGAGAGAAACAATGCAAGAGGGTGTTAGAAGTTGTAGAAACTCTTCAGCAATGGAACTGTGGTGAAACGTAAATCCCTGCTCAATGTTGAAGCATTTGCTAAGCATTCACTTTATTCTTATGCGTGCTTTACTGCCATCATATATCACTTACTGCATTAACTGACTAACCTTTAATTCTGTATTTGCATAAAGCATTCCATAATTGAAACCTATGTACTTTATCATATACTTTCTCTAAGTCAACAAATAATGCAACAGAGTTTATTTCTCTTTCATTCAGTGGGATGCTGAAGAAAAATCTGCATACACCCCTTGCCTGACATATGCCATACTATACTTCCACATAGTACATTCTATACTATAAAGACTGCTTTTGATCAAAATTCTGCCAATTTCCAGGCATATTTTACAAATTAATCCCCCTATAATTCTTGCATTTACTCTTGCTCCTCTCCCCTTTGTATAGAGAAACAATAACAGCATTTTTTCCAGTCATTGGACACAGATGGAGGCTTCACAAACATAACACTTCCATTCTTTTTTCTTTATATATGCATTATGCCATATTGTCATAATTTTTTGCATACATTTTCTCATCCACAGCATCTTTCGCTCAATCATTCCTCCAAGCAACCTTTTTCATACTTCCCATTAACCTAACTTCACACACTCCTGTGGTATTCTGTAATATAATTCTTTTCATTCTGTTTCAAACAGTTTTCACATCCTGCTTTGTTATGCCCATTTTCCATTCATTCTATTAGATTAATAGTCTGCTGTATATTTAGAACCTCTCATCATCGTTCTGTCCTTTATAATACTTTCAATATTTCCTCGTCAATCAATCAATCATGCTTTTAGATTTATCTTCATTCCCTTCCCATCTCTATATATGAATAGACTTACACTTAAACCACATATTATAAACAGACTGACTTTTCTCTAAACAGATTCTACCCATACATACACTGTACTTATTCATTCTTGGGTGTCCAAAAGGCCCAGTCCCTTTTCATGCATTCTTTCACATGGTTGCCATCCATCCATCCATCCATCCATCCATCCATCCCTCCCTCCCTCCCTCCCTCCCTCCCTCCCTGTCACCTAACAGAATAGTCTTCCCAGGGATTACATTCATTCAGAATGTTGCACAATTCTTCTCAAAATATATCACTGATTCTTCCATTTTCACCATTCACTGGAGCATAACATGCAACTACCATCAACTTATGAATTCCTACCTTCTGCACCCACAGCATTCTAGTGGCACTAACTTGCACACTCTGACATACATTTTAGCCCTTTCATTCATAATTAGACCTATACCTTCGCTTCTCTGTGCATATTGATCAATAATAGTCCAGAAGAATAGACTTTTATTCAGATCTATTACATTTTTATCCTTTCTTTGATTTTCAGATGCAGAGTATAGCCACTCCTTGTTTAGCAGCTCCCTTGTTTAGTGACTGTTCACAAATATGACGGTAATAACTGCAAAAAAATTCATTTTCCGACCAATGCACACTTTTACCACCAAATTTTGAGAGCCTGACAACAGCCTTCAGTGTGAAACTGACTAAATGTCTGGCAGTTTCAGGCAGCAGAGCAAGCGACAGGAGGGTCCTAATCAACTACTTAAGGTCACAGAACAGAGGTTGTTAACTTGTGCTTAGCATTTTTTTTTTAGGGAAGCTCTGTGCTGCAGAGAAAAAAAGTTCAAGAAGAGACAGCTTGTTTAAGCAATCTCTCCGCCTTGCGAGGGGGGCAAAAAAGGGAAAAACAAACAGGTCAGACACAGGACACTGTACAAGAAAACTTTATCTGAATGAGACAGCAGCAACCAGTGCAGCCTCTCTCTCAGTCACATATGTACTTAGCAACCACTTCATTTCTGATTTAAGGAATGGACTGCGGTCGCTAAACAAGCAGAGGGTGTTCTGTCTTCCTTTTGTTAATTCACGCTCTTTACTCTAATTTTCTTACAATTAAAAATATATATATATATATATATCACATATTTTAAATAGCTCTTATTGTAACAAAATACTGACTATATTTATGAGACAATAAAAAAATAAAAAATATTAACCATATCATGGGGAGCTAAATCTTAAGGCAGTGTGCTATGTTTAAATATATTATGCAGTAAAACAGAAAGTAGTGGTAAGTTGGAACACAACTAAGCCACAATATATATCAAAGTCAACTGCCACTTTTTCAAAATTATTTGAGTACAAAAAATTAACAAAAATTAGACAATATAACAATCAATTATGAATGCCAAATTATTATAATAGAAGTTACATGGGATAATAAATAAAGAGTAAAGCTTAGCTACATTAGATCTTTTATGGATATTGATTTTTCTTCCCTTGCTGGGCCAGAATACTTGTGGCTAAAAAAAATGGACTAAAATGCAAAGCCAGTATTTGTTTTACGAGCCAAAGTAGACAAACTAATCACAGCTTATTCAGTCCATTCCAGGTTTCTTTCCCTCTTTCACTTCTTATCCAGCAGATGTAAAGGATGGCTTTGTTCATGCATTTCACAGCAGTGTTTGTGTGCGTGCTCATTATCCTTACTGGAGTCTCCCATGGGGGGAAAAGCAAGAAGAATGCTTTTGGGGAGGGGGCTATTTTTATTGCATACTTTTCTGGATACTATTAAGGATACCTTAGTCTGGCCACAGAAACAAGTCAAGAATAAGCCAGGGTTCACGATTAAAACACAAAAACTTTCTGGTTAATGCAACAGAGGCAAACCACTGCTAAAGAAAGCAAACCCTGGCTTAATGGCATTGGCAAACTAGGACACTGGGAAATATTAAGACAGAAAAATAGCAAAACCAATAGCACTGTTGATGAGGGAGAATATATATATATATAT